GAGACTCGGGGCCTCGGGGGTCTGGGCATGAGGTGGCCTGACGCCTAAGGTCAAGTGCCTCCAGCCTCCGCTGCTCTCCGCTGGCACGGCCTTGGGTCCTGCTAGGCGTAGCCCCACTAAGCATGGGGCACAAGACTCCGCTAATTAGCCTCCTGACCCCCTCCCCCTCCTCCGGCCTCGGGCGTGGGCGGCTGGGGTGCAGCCCCCAGGAGGCCCTGTGCCTGGCGGCAGTAATTCTATTTACCTTTCCTGAGAGCCTCCTGTCCTCTCATTTGCGCCCATTAGCTGGGCGCGCTCTGCTCCAGCCGCCCCCTCCTCCTCTGATGGCGCCCTCTCCAGACACACGTCCACCAGGCTCTCAGCTCTGCTGCCCGGAGGGGTGACCACAGCCCCGGTGGCTCCTCCCGCCCTCGCCTCCAGCCTCTCCATCAGAGGCTGTGCCCAGGCGCTCTCAGACCTCAGGTGCCGCGGCCCTGCCCACCCCGGGCGCCTGGTCGTCCTCCAGCACTCAGCTCCGTCCTGGGGTCAGTCCCCCGCCTGCCCAGCAGGTGCCCGCCCACCGACGGCCGCTCCTGATGGGGAGGACTGGGTGGCCTTGCAGAGGCCGGGGACACTGTGCTGTCACCTCACTCAGACCAGTTCAGTTGGGGTCCCCTGTCCCCCCACTTCACCTGCTGCGTGCCCTGCGTGCTGCTCAGGTGGCCGGAGTCTGGATGAGGCAGAGGCGAGCGGAGGACTCCAGGCCCAGGTTGTGCGGCAACGTCCCCACTGACCCGAGTGCAGCCCCGGCCATGTGTCCATGGGGCAGGAGGGGTGGGATGTCAGTGGCCTCCCTGGGCCATCGCCCCCCATCATGTCCCTCTCCTGGCAAATGGTGACCCCTGGGGGCCAAAGCTAATGGGGGACTATCCCCTCGGCCTGGGGCGGCTGAGGCCGCCTGCGCTGGCGAGAGGTGGCAGCCGGGACCTGCTCCATGGGGCAGCCAGCCACCACCACACTCGGTCCCATCAGGGTCCAGCTTGATCCAGTCCATCTGTAAAGTGGGGGTCCCAGAGGGTAGCGCCAGCCCAGGGGGTGGGAAGAGGACCACTGCACAAGCTCTTTATTGTTGGAGGACACACATTCCTTCACAGACTCAGACACACACAGGACACAGACATGCACTCATGAGAGCTCCCCACCCGCCCCCCCGCACCCCCTTGGGCCCACTGGGCACAGAGCAGGTGTGGGGAGGGGAGGGCAGGGCAGGGGAGGGCAGGAGAGGGGAGGCCCACCCTCAGGCCACTGCAGTGGGCCCCGGGGACAGGGGGCCGCTCTGGCTACACCCCGGCCACTCTGGGTCTTGTTCTGAATTGTTCGTGGTGGCCTCTCACTCCTGAGTCCAGCCCGGGGGCTCGG